GGAATGGTTGGAATCTGGGATTGGAATCTACCGGCTGGAATTTTGGTGGGTCTGGAATTCCCTGGAGGTGAAGACGTGGATGGGGATCCGTAGGAATAATTCCTGCTTTTCCTGGATTGGGAATTCTGAGGAAAAAGAGGGAAGGAGGTGCTGGATCCGAGGATTCAGGAGTTCTGGAATCTTGGAATCCTGAATCCTTTGGAAGCAGGGATTGGGATCTGCCAGCAGAAGGTGTGGGATGGGAAGGGGCATTCCTGCTTTTCCCTGGATTGGGAATTCTGAGGAAAAAGAGGGAAGGAGGGAAAGAGGACAGGGAATGGTTGGAATCTGGGATTGGAATCTACCGGCTGGAATTTTGGTGGGTCTGGAATTCCCTGGAGGTGAAGACGTGGATGGGGATCCGCAGGAATAATTCCTGCTTTTCCTGGATTGGGAATTCTGAGGAAAAAGAGGGAAGGAGGTGCTGGATCCGAGGATTCAGGAGTTCTGGAATCTTGGAATCCCGAATCCTTTGGAAGCAGGGACTGGGATCTGCCAGCTGGAGGTGTGGGATGGGAAGGGACATTCCTGCTTTTCCCTGGATTGGGAATTCTGAGGAAAGGAGGGAAGGAGGTTCTGGATCCAGGAATTCCCCATTCCCAAACCAGAAAAGTCTGGAATTTGGGATTGGCATCTCCCAGCTGGAATTTTGGTGGGTCTGGAATTCCCTGGAGGTGAAGACGTGGATGGGGATCTGCAGGAATAATTCCTGCTTTTCCTGGATTGGGAATTCTGAGGAAAAAGAGGGAAGGAGGTGCTGGATCCAGGGATTTGGGAATTCCGGACTCTTGGAATGCCGAATCCTTTGGAAGCAGGGACTGGGATCTGCCAGCAGGAGGTGTGGGATGGGAAGGGACATTCCTGCTTTTCCCTGGATTGGGAATTCTGAGGAAAGGAGGGAAGGAGGTTCTGGATCCAGGAATTCCCCATTCCCAAACCAGAAAAGTCTGGAATTTGGGATTGGCATCTCCCAGCTGGAATTTTGGTGGCTCTGGAATTCCCTGGAGGTGAAGATGTGGATGGGGATCCGCAGGAATAATTCCTGCTTTTCCTGGATTGGGAATTCCTGGGGAAAAAAAGGGAAGGAGGTGCTGGGTACAGGGATTCAGGAGTTCTGGAATCTTGGAATGCAGAATCCTTTGGAAGCAGGGATTGGGATCTGCCAGCAGGAACTGTGGGATGGGAAGGGACATTCCTGCTTTCCCTGGATTGGGATCCCTGAGGAAAAGGAGGGAAGGAGGTGCTGGATCCAGGGATTCAGGAGTTCTGGAATGGGAAAGTTTGGAATCTGGGATTGGCATCTCCCAGCTGGAATTTTGGTGGCTCTGGAATTCCCTGGAGGTGAAGATGTGGATGGGGATCTGCAGGAATAATTCCTGCTTTTCCTGGATTGGGAATTCTGAGGAAAACAGGGAAGGAGGTTCTGAATCCAAGAATTCCCCATTCCAGAAAAGCTTGGAATCAGGGATTGGCATCTCCTAGCTGGAATTTTTTCCCCTCCTGGGAGTTGTTTTGGCGGCTCCGGGCGGGTTTTTCCCATTCCATCCTTTCTGGGCTCCGTCCCACTTGGGAATCCCGCCATTCCCAAGCCATTCCCGACATTCCAAGGCCATTCCCGTCTCCGCAGGCTCCTTCGCCAGCACCCTGCCCACCTACCAGCAGTCGGAGGTGATGGTTTTCATCATGAACAAGGTGCCTCTTCCCTCTTCCCAACATTCCATGGAGCCGGGAAAAGACGGGTGAGGACGGATCCCGAAAATTCCCGCCCCCCCCTCCCCTCTCCCGGGAATCTTTTTGGCGCCGTTTCCTTGGAATTAAACCACTCTCTGGATCGTTTTTCCTGGAAAAACAGCTCCAAACTCCTGTTTATTTATGGAAAAGAGGCTTCCCTTGGATTTGGGAAGTGTCATTCCCGTTGTTTTGCCTTTGGATTCCTGCCTGGAGAACTCGGATCTGCTCCCCCCCCGATCCCATTCCCGGGTTTTTAATCCCATAAAATGGCCAAAATCCCGTTCAGGACTCCCAGATTTTAATAAAATCCCTGGTTTTTAATCCCGGAAAATTCCTAAATCCCAGCTCAGCGCTCCCAGGTTTTCTAAAATCCCGTTGGAATTTCGAGGCCGCAGCGACTCCGGAATTCCCGCCGCGTTTGGGAATCCCCGGCAGGAATCAAATCCCTTCTCCCTGGAATCCCCGGGATCAATTCCCACCATTCCCACATGGATTTATTGAACCCTTTGGATCATTTTTCCTGGAAAAATGACTCCAAATTCCAGTTTATATCTGGAAAAGAGGCTTCCCTGGGATCCTGGGAATTGTCATTCCCGTTGTTTTGCCTTTGGATTCCCGCCTGGAGAACTCGGATCTGCTCCGCCCCGATCCCATTCCTGCTTTTTAATCCCCAAATTCCTGGAATGTCTCATTCCCACCTGGATTTGACCCCGGAATTCCTCTTTCCACGCAGGGAAAACCGGAACCGGCTGACGCAGATCATGCTCCTGAAATCCCTGCTCCAGGTAGGAATCCGGCCCCATTCCCATGGGATCGTATTCCAGGGGAATATTCCAAGGGGTGAATCCCTCAGGAACTGCTCCAGGTGCATATTCCCTGGGGTGAATCCCTCAGGAACTGCTCCAGGTGGATATTCCCTGGGGTGAATCCCTCAGGAACTGCTCCAGGTCCCTTTTCCAAGGGGTGAATCCCTCAGGAACTGCTCCAGGTCCATATTCCATGGGGTGAATCCCTCAGGAACTGCTCCAGGTGGATATTCCAAGGGGTGAATCCCTCAGGAACTGCTCCAGGTTCATATTCCATGGAGTGAATCCCTCAGGAACTGCTCCAGGTGTTTTTCCAAGGGGTGAATCCCTCAGGAACTGCTCCAGGTCCATATTCCATGAGTTCAGTCCCTCAGGAACTGCTCCAGGTGCATATTCCAAGGTGTGAATCCCTCAGGAACTGCTCCAGGTGCCTTTTCCAAGGGGTGAATCCCTCAGGAACTGCTCCAGGTGGATATTCCCTGGGGTGAATCCCTCAGGAACTGCTCCAGGTCCATATTTTATGGGGTGAATCCCTCAGGAACTGCTCCAGGTGCATATTCCCTGGGGTGAATCCCTCAGGAACTGCTCCAGGTCCCTTTTCCATGGGGTGAATCCCTCAGGTCCATATTCCAAGGGGTGAATCCCTCAGGAACTTCTCCAGAGGACCCCGAATTGTGGTTTAACCCCCTCTGAGTGCCCCTTTTCCCATATTTCCCTTGGAATCCCCAGGTCTCCGTGGGTTTCCAGTGCACCAACATGCTCACGGCTCTTCCCAGCGCGTTCCTGGACCGGCTCCTCTCCTCGGCCCTCCTGGAAGATCCCGAAATCCGCCTCTTTGTCCTGGAAATCCTCATCAGCTTCATCGACCGCCACGGCAACCGCCACAAGTTCTCCACCATCAGGTTCTTCCCGAGGGATTTGGCGGGAGATCCCGGGGAGCGGGATTGGGATGGGAGCGCTGGCAGGAATATCTGTGATCCATAAGGATTTTTGGGATGGTTCCATCCTGGAGATCCTGGGATCTGGGATGGGATCTCTGTCAGGAATGTCAGTGATCCAGGAGGATTTTTGGGATGGTTCCACACTGGAGATCCTGGATTTGGGATGGGATCCCTGTCAGGAATATCAGTGATCCATAAGGATTTTTGGGATGGTTCCACACTGGAGATCCTGGATTTGGGATGGGCTCCCTGGCAGGAATATCCGTGATCCATAAGGATTTTTGGGATGGTTCCATCCTGGAGATCCTGGATTTGGGATGGGATCCCTGTCAGGAATATCAGTGATCCAGGAGAATTTTTGGGATAGTTCCACCCTGGAGATCCTGGATTTGGGATGGGATCTGGGATAGGAGCACTGTCAGGAATATTCATGATCCATAAGGATTTTGGGGATGGTTCCATCCTGGAGATCCTGGGATCTGGGATGGGATCTCTGTCAGGAATGTCAGTGATCCAGGAGAATTTTTGGGATGGTTCCATCCTGGAGATCCTGGATCTGGGATGGGATCCCTGTCAGGAATATCCATGATCCAGGAGAATTTTTGGGTCGTTCCCATCCTGGAGATCTTGGATCTTTGGGATTCCAACCCCCCTGGAGATGGTGGTTCCTCCGGGATGGGTCGTTCCCATCCAGGGAATCTCCTCAGGAATGTGGGAATGGCTCTGCCACCCTCAGGAATCCCAAGTTTTCCTTTTTCCCTGGATTTTCCCGGCAGCACCATCAGCGACATCTCCGTCCTGAAGCTGAAGGTGGAGAAATGTTCCCGCCAGGATTCCGTCTTCATGAAGAAGGTAATTCCAGGATTTGGGCCTTGGAGCTCCATGAGTCTGCTAAAACCTGGGAATATCCCTGGAATTTCAATCCAGTAGGACAAGAGGGCTCGGCCTCCAGCTGGGCCAGGGGAGGGGCAGGTGGGATATCGAGAAGGATGGGAATTCCCCCTCCTATCCCACATCCCGAATTATTCCCCCTCCTCTCCCACATCCCAACTATTCCCCCTCCTCTCCCACATCCCAATTATTCCCCATCCCATCCCACATTCCAAATTATTCCCCCTCCTATCCCACATCTGAATTATTCCCTCTCCTTTCCCACATCCCAAATATTCCCCCTTCTCTCCTGCATCCCAATTTATTCCTCTTCCTAACCCATATCCCAGTTATTCCCCTCCTATTTCACATCCCAACTATTTTCCCCTCCTCTCCCACATCCCAACTATTCCTCTTCCTATCCCACTTCCCAGTTTATTCCTTTTCCCAACCCACATCTCAGTTATTCCCCTTCCTATCCCACATCCCAACTCTTCCTCCTCCCAGCCCACATCCCAATTATTCCTCCTCCTCTCCCACATCCCAACTATTCCCCTTCCTATTCCACATCCCAACTATTCCATTTCTAATCCTACATCTGAATTATTCCCTCTCCTATCCCACATCCCAATTTATTCCCCTTCCCAGCCCATATCCCAACTATTCCTCCTTCTCTCCCACATCCCAATTTATTCCCTCTCCCAACCCACATCCCAACTATTCCTCCTCCCAACCCATATCCCAAATTATTCCCCCTCTTCCCAACCCACATCCCAACTATTCCCCCTCCTATCCCACATCCCAACTATTCCCTCTCCCATCCCACATCCCAGTTATTCCCCCTCCCATCCCACATTCCAAATTATTCCTCTTCCTATCCCACATCCCAACTTATTCCTCTTCCTAACCCATATCCCAGTTATTCCCCTCCTATCTCATATCCCAATTTATTCCCCTTCCCAACCCACATCCCAACTATTCCTCCTCCTCTCCCACATCTGAATTATTCCCTCTCCTAACCCACATCCCAACTTATTCCCCCTCCCAGCCCACATTCCAAATTATTCCCCCTCCTCTCCCACATCCCAGTTTATTCCCCCTCCCAACCCACATCCCAGTTATTCCCCCTCCCATCCCACATTCCAAATTATTCCCTCTCCTATCCCACATCCCAGTTATTCCCCCTCCCATCCCACATCCCAACTATTCCCCCTCCCATCCCACATCCCAACTATTCCCCTTCCCATCCCACATTCCAAATTATTCCCCCTCCTCTCCCCCATCCTGACTATTCCCACCTCCCAGTTATTCCCTTCTCCCAGGAAGCAGCAGCAGGACAGGAGGGCTCGGCCTCCAGGGGGAGGAGATTCCAGTTGGATATCAGGAAGGAATTCTTTCCATGGATTGGGATCAGCCCTTGGAATGGGCTGCCCAGGGAGGGGGTGGAGTCACTTCCCTGGAGGTTTTTTGGGATGAGGTTGGATGTGGCATCAGAACCACGGCGGGGTCGGATCCGGGGTCGGATCCACCATCCCAGAGCTCTTTCCCAACTCTCCTGATTTTCTAATTCCATATGGAATTCCCTGTTTTCCTTCCCTCCACTTCCCCAGCACGGGCAGCAGCTGTACCGGCACATCTTCCTGATCTCCAAGGAGGAGACCAACGGGCGGGCTCACTACGAGGCCCTTTTCGGGCTCCTGGTGCTGCTGAGCCTGGAGCTGGCCAACGAGGAGGTGGTGGTGGATCTCATCCGCCTCGTCCTGGCCATCCAGGTGAGCGGGAAAGCCCGGAATTCCGTGATTTTCGGGATTTTCGGGGTGTCTCGGGAAGCCTGGGAGGTGTCGGAGCAACCCCGGGGAGAGCGGGAGGTGGAACGGGAGGGGGTTTGAGGGCCCTTCCCAACCAAACCAGTCCGGGATTCCGGGATAAAGGACACTCAGGATCCACTCAGAGGGGTTTTTATGGAATGTGGGGATGGAAAAGGCGGGAAAGGGGAAGGGAGACCCTGCCCTGAGTGCCGAGATTCCCAGGGAACCCCCTTGTTCCCGGAACTCCTTCCCAGGGAGGAGCTGGGCTGGGGATGGATCCAATGGCAGGCTCTGGCTCCAGGCTGGGAGAGCTGGGAATGGCCAGGCTGGAGAAGGGAAGGATCCCGGGAGAGCTTGGAGCACATTCCAGAGGCTGAAGGGGCTCCAGGAGAGCTGGAGAGGGACTGGGGATGAGGGCCTGGAATGCCAGGCCCCAGGGAATGGATCCCAGTGGGAAAGGGGAGATCTGGGGGGGAGATTCCACGCACGGGGTCCAGGTGCACAGGAACACCGGGAATTTCGGGAATTTCGGGATCTTTCTGGGCCTGGGGGGCACATAGGGGGCTGGGCAGGGTCCTGTGCCCCTGCCCTGAGCTGTGAACTTGCCAAATTTGGAGGGAGAAAGAGCCACTTTTAGGGAGGTGAAGCCCTTCGTGCCAAGCCCTGGGCACCCCAGCTGTGCCCAGGCCACCCTTAAATGGCCCCAGAAGTCCTCAGGTCACTGATAAAACTCCTTGTGCCACCCCCAAAATACCCCCCCCATGCCCACTCCAGGCCACCCCAAACCACCCAGGACACCCCCAAAAGGACCCCCAAAACCTCCATCATTGCCACCCCAAAATAACCCCCGTGGCTACTCCAGGACCCCAAAACCTCCCCATACCACCCCCAAAAACACCCCCCCATGCCAACTCCATTCCCCACCCAAACCACCCTATGGCACCCCCCAATAGGTGCCCCAGCCAAAAACCAAACCCCCATGCCCACCCCCCAAAATACCCCCCCGTGCCACTCCAGGTCCCCCCCAGAGCAGCCCAGGACACCCCCCAAAGGACCCATTGCCAGTCCAGTCCCACCAAAATCTCTCCATGCCAGCCCTGAGGACCCCAAAAACTCCCCATTGCCACCCCCAAAACACCCCCATGCCACCTCCAGCCCCACCAACCACCCTATTGCCAACCCCTAATGGACCCCAAAACCTCCCCGTGCCCACCCCCAAATACCCCCCATGCCACTCCAGCCCCCCCCAAACCACCTGTGCCAACCCTCCAAGGGACCCCCAAACCCCCTGTGGTGCCACCCCCAAAATACCCCCCAGGCCACTCCAGTTCCCCCCCAAATCTCTCCATGCCAGCCTAGAGGACCCCAAACCTCCCCATTTGCCACCCCCAAAACACCACCCATGCCACTCCAGGGCCCCAACCAAACCACCCCAGGGACACCCCCAATGGACCCCAAAACCTTCCCCATGCCACCCCAAATACCCCCCATTGCCACTCCAGTCCCCCCAAAATCTTCTCCATGCCAGCCCTAAGAGGACCCCAAAACCTCCCCATTACCACCCCTCCCAGCCAGGAATCCCTTTCTCAATCTCCCATTTAGGAGCACCCTGAACCCCCTTGGATCCTCGGGATCCTCGGGAAAGCCGGACACGGCGACTCCAGGAGGTGGATAATCAACACCCTGAGGCTTTTCCCGCCCTGATCCCTTGGGAATTGTGTGATTCCCAATGGAAGGTTGCCCAGCTCCTCCTTATCCCGCTATCCCAGGTGGCTCCAACCTTTCCTTGGACACTCCCAGGGATCCAGGGGCAGCCACAGCTTCT